GGCATACAGTCTCCTCCCTCCGCCCCCAGCATACTGTCTCCCTCAGCCGCCGCGCCGGCCGCGAATAGACGCGGCGCGGCGCGGCATCGCTTACGGCTAAGCAAAGGCTACTTCGTTGTAATCTCATTATTATTGTTAACATTGTGTTAATGGTATAATAATGTTTGAATGCCATTGCCTCATTGTTAGCCTCACTTCATTACAGGCCTTAGCACCTCAGAGCTCTAACTTGTCTCATTCCTCTACCATTACTTCTCTATTGTTATTATCATGTTATTAGTATTGTGTTTATGTATTAAAGGTTTAATTACCCAAGTTTGAGGCTGGTAGATCAACTACAACAACTAAAAGACCCGCGTGGCTAATATTCTACATCAATCTGAACCGCTACACTTCGCCGCTTTCCAATTCGTTACAGATATCATTTGTGCAATGGTGAAACACCGGGAAAATCCGTTTGCGCAAAGAAACTAAGGCCTGATTTAGAAATTAACCACTGGAGCAGTGGTTCAACAAAGATGCTTATTTAAATGTATTAATTCCATATGATGTGCTGCCCAAGTGTGTGTTGCGCAGTTGTTAAAAGAACGCTGCAATACACATAAGATTGATCCCGCGCCCCAAGCTCACCAAGTCTTCCATCCCACCAGCTTCGGTAGACTGGAAGCAGGGTAGTCTGGTAGGATAGCAGTACTTATTCGATACATCGATAGCCCCGCGAGTCACTGTATGGGGCAGATATGCATTTAGTCATCTCTAACGATGTTCATAAGTCTGCTGCATGACGCATCCCTCAGGGATTGACAACGTCGAGAGTTTTACCTTTTTTTTATTCAACCCTAGCATTCTCTCATTCATTTCGTTCTCATTCAAATGTTATCAACTTATGCGGTCGGGCTTCATTTGGATTTAGCTGTAGCTTGAAGATTTCTCGTCATTTCTTTCTAAAAACATGTTGAATTCCATTGTGTTACCATTTCTTTCTACTCTCCGGAATCCCAAAGCAACAGCACTGGGACAAATGGAGTTTTTGACCAAAACTGATCACTGATCCAGGTAGATTGAAAATAAATTTGTAAGAATTAAAAAGAAATCCATGAAATAAAGGCAATATTGGAACGACGTTACTATTATAGCTCCAATGTACACATCCCAATGCCCTTATTCCTGGTTTAGACATTTTGGCAGAACCCATCACTTACCAGTTTGTCTTAATTGTCAAAGTAAGCATAAATGCTGCCTACATCATAGCACACTTAAGAAACGAATTGGAGACGTGAACTATGAAAACACCAAAACGGATCGCGATCACAGAACCACAGTGGTGCCATGAAATACCAGAGAAAGAGCAATGTGTTCGAACAACAGAAATAGAAGGATAAAGGATAAAGTTCTCGGCGTTGATCAATCCCTAAAGGGTGCGCCATGCATTCGGCTTCAATAAGCATCGTTGGAGGTGATTGAATGCATATCTGGCCTTTACAATGATTCACGGTGGCCTACCGATGTATCTAATCAGCGCTGCTATGCTCTCAGCCAAGTCTGGCACCAATTTTCCCACTCCGGAGGGATAGAAGGCTTGGTGGGCCATGGGCACGGTGATCGATTCCACGTGTGAGTCGCAGTGACGCCTCCAACCACTGGGCCACGCGTGTTCTTGAACCACAGTAACCTCATAAAATTCCGCTCGAAGTCCACGTACCAACCGATCCCACTTCATGTGTTATCACTGAAGCAAAAGTAAAATTCACACTGTGTGATCTCACCAACAGTCCGAGACGTTTTGCAATAAATATTTCTAATCTTTATAGTTTACTGATCAACGCACGACAATTTCCAAATTGTTCAATCTGGAAACAGCAGTGAGTGCTAAAGCGACTGGGAAAGATTTAACGCTGGAAGTGGAGCATTGAACATGTGGTTAAGATGAATGCACTTGTGAAAGCCCTAAAAAATACAAACTATTCAAAAGTTTGGTTGCAAACATAGGACTGCAACCGACATCTGTGTTAATTAATGAAAGCAGAGAATTTTTTTATTAATGTTAAATGAATATGGGTGCTGAACTTTACCTTATTTACATTCCAAGTCATACTGTATTATTAAGTCACAACGGTTTACCGCCTCATCATGGCTGGGAGATGTTACGGGGTGTCGAACTGCGATGTACAGCGGGTGATTCATCACCTGGCAGGGTCTCCCAAGCTGAGAAGGAGTCCGGCACTTCCATAAAGAAGCCAAGCTAAGAGTAAACTAAAACGAGGATCCACCACCGTCCCGGTATCAAAATCGCATGGCCGCAAATCTCTCCCTGTTCCATAAGGGTTGCCACTGCCTGTGGTGGTGAAGACCTGGGCAGACTTTGGCTAAGTTGGCCTCAGGATTTCAGGGAACCACAACGGCTTAACCAGCAAATCTCCGAAAAATGGTGATTATGCCGCTGCCAGCATAACCAGTAAGGACGGGCCGTTCAAGTGTCAAATATCAAGTATTATCACAATATTGCTGAGATATTTACAAAACTCTGGACCAGAGGTGTCTAAGGTGGGGAACGAACGCGCTGTTGTCCTTTCCGGGGAGTAAAGCGTTCACCACCACACCATGCGAGTCCTTCGTTTCGTCTGTCTCTCAGCTAGTTCTATCGATATTCACTAAATATACACTAGAACTAGTTTGAGAAACAGGCGAAACGAAGGACCCACATGATGTGGTGGTGAACGCGTTACTACCCGGAAAGGACGATGGCGCGTTCGTTTCCTACCTTAGACACATGTGGTCCCAGAGTTTGCAAACACGTCAAAAACATTGTGGTTGTATGAATGTGTCGTTTTCTTGTTTAGCAAGCGCGAGGATTTTAAACAGCATACATTTACTTCCATAGAAAAACACAATACAATACAACGCTAGTTGACGTTCCGGCAGTATCGCCTTCTTCACAGCCTGGAAGGGTACACTGATATACGATCTACTAGGCCAAACGCTTCAACAACACTCACAAAAAGACGAAAAACCCTTTGGTAATTACATGATCAACAACTTCTCGAAAAACCCACCGCTTTTTCGTGACTTCCAATGAGGAGGTTTAAAACAGCTGATTATAGTCGCATGTGGTTGACGACTGCACCATCCCACATCAAAAATCGGTGCGAACATACGAGATTAGGTCGCGTATGAAATGAAGGGAAATATTTCGCACAAATAAGGGGGTTGGCAATGGGACAGCGATTGGCACCAAGCCTTGCCATTGTGTTTATGTCGAAGATAGTAGCCCCTGTTCTCGATCTCCGGCCACTACTCTACTGCAGATGTGTAGATGATTGTTTTGTCGTCTTCTCTACGCAGGAGGAGATGGACAAATGCTTTGAATTATTGAACGAGCAGTTTGAGTACATTAAGTTCACCCGGGAGAAACCGAGAAAAAACTGGCTTCCGTTTTTAAACGACCAAATAAACCTATGAAGTAGTGGTTACATGACAAAGTGGTATCGAAAGCCAAGTAACAAAAACATTCTTGTTCATTTCCTTTCTTCCCACCCTTCACACACAAAGAGGGCGATTGTGAGAAACATGTTTCGAGCAGTCACCTCTGTGTGCACTACCAGGCAACTAAAGGAAGAATCGAGCGACTTGGCTCGGCAAATAGCCATCTCCAATGGCTACGAAATAGTAACCCCACGAGATGAGTTTAGAAGGAGAACGACGCGCCCACGCGAAACACTTGGCCAAAACAAAATCTCGTTTATGTTGCCTTTTATTAGCGATAAAGTAAGCGTAGCTGTAAAACGATGCTTAAGAAGGGCAGGTCTAGAGGAATCGGTAGCGGTAGTTGAAATACAACCGGCTACTCTACTCCGGCACTTAGTTCGTAATCGCCTGCATGACCGTCTATGTGAAACAACAAACTGTGTAGTTTGTCCTCACAGCAGGGACGGTGATTGCATGAGTTCAGGTACGATGTACATGATCCCTTATAATGATTGCGGAGATGAATATATTGGCGATACGAGTAGACCTTTGTGTACCCGCGTAAAAGAACACCTAGATGGCAAACGAAAACTAAGACAAAGTACCCCACTAGGTACGCATAGGGTACAGAAGCATAGTGGAGACGATTTTGAAGTAAAAGTCAATATCCTTGCACAGGAGTCTAAAACACCAGCTCGAAAGCTTCTCGAGGCTTTTTAGATAAATGCCAAAAACCCTGCAATGAGTAGCAGGGATGAATGCCCAGAGGTCATACGCGACCTGACCCCGTATGTTCGCATCAATTTCTGACGTGGGATGGTGCAGTTATCAACCATGTGCGTCTATAATGGGCTGTTCTAAACTTCCTCATTAGAGGTCACGTAAAAAGCGGTGAGTTTTTCGAGAAGCTGTTGATCATGTAATTACCAAAGAGTTTTTCGTCTTTTTGTAAGTGTCATTGAAACGTTTGGCCTAGTAGATTGTATATCAGTATACCCTTCCAGGCTCTGAAGACGATACTGCCGAAACGTCAGCTGGTGTTGTATTGTATTGTGTTTCTCTATGGAAGTAAACGTATGCTGTTTAAAAACCTCGCGATTGCTGAACAAGAAAACGACACATTCATATTCCAATGCCGAGGTTAATAGAAAGTCGATCTTGGGAACTATTGTGGTTGTATTTCGCTTAGTACCTTGCCGTGAAAACTGTGGTAGGCAGGAAATAAAAAGTAAAAGGATATCAAGTAATATATTATTATACCTATTTTGTATTTTTATCCTAATTATCTAAAGGATGGCCGCAGACAGTTTTATCATTGTAGAGTTGAATCAGCAGTAGTATATTGGTTTAAGAAACCACATTCGTGCGTACGGTACTGCATCCACACAATGAGGAATGGCTTGTCAAGCAACTTCTAGAACCTCACTATTAGTGAATACGTTTAAAAATTTGACCAATCTCTATAATAATATTGTATTACTTTAATTGATGGCAATGCTGAGCTGCGGAAATTCATCACTGCGAGCGGGAGCAGTGAAGACAACACCGAGAGCCCCTTCAGAGCAGTCCTGAAGTAGTTTCTCCAGTTTCTGCAGGCAATAAGACTCAAAGACACTAGCTAATGCTTAAAAAACTGACTAAGCAAGCGCAATCAGACCAAATACGGCGTTCGCAACTGCTAATTGCTGATCATTAAATCCACTTAACTAAAATTACACAAAGGTAAAATATTTCGCCTTCGCGATTCTATAATAGATTCAAGCTCACACCAATCTCGTGCTTCATGACATAGTTGCTAATGAATCGCAACCATATCCCGAAATTAAAAATTTGGCCGCTCGATCCGGTGTCGAGTACAGTGGTAAATGGTAGATCTGCTATACCGATGGTGACGATACTGGCGTACATGTGATCCCCATTGTCCAGCACCTTAAGCAAATGCATCATTTGATGAGCGTCAACCACATTTACTAAAAACATGCCGTTGTTATTTCTGGTCACTTAAAATCACACCATATAAATATACTCGTGCCTACTGTGAAATCGTTTTGTTGGTGTCAATTCCTTCCAGTTTACAGGAAAGCCGCTATATTCCGTAATGCAACTAGTAACATTTACGACTAGAGGTCCCTATAGTCACTGGCAGTTTCTCGACCTCCCGTTTTGTAGATCTAGGATTTATTTTTGAAACGCTACTATAATCCATTTCCTTATCGCATTTTAATCGGTTTAATATGTTCTTTTGAACCTTTCAGAGAGCTATTGGCGCACACTCTCGCAAATGCACCCGAGTATCTCACTTGGTTTATGCACTTTCTTAAACTTTTCCATATACTCACAGATGGTAGCAGAGCTAGAGTGCCAGTTATTCCAAGCTGTAAACATGTTTTAGTTTCCAGTCCAAAGTAGGAAAACGCGGTCAGAGAATGCAAAATTATGTATGAGGGTGAGATTGACCCAAACAGATTCTACCAGATTAACATCAGAAATGTCAGATTGTATCCTCTAAACGTTTCATAGCAGTCTACCAGTAATATTTTTTCAAACATATATCCTTAAGTTAGTTCGGAATTGGAGACCTCAAAAGCTGTTTACTACAAAGCATCTGTCCAAATCTAATAGAGTCTCCACAGTTAAATCTGATGCGAGAAAGTATTAAGGTCAACATGTATTCCTTAGGGATGTAGATGGAATTTGAACTCCGTGCAGCACTGTGGGGCACAAAATTCCTAATTCATTCCATAAACAAAAACTACGTTTGAACTTGAAGGTTAAGGGAGAAGTTGTCGTCAGTAGTGTTTAATGATGATGATCGCAGAACATCATGACATTAAACTTGAGCTGCATACTCATTTCACCCATTCATCTGTATCTGTTAAATTTGAGAGCTTCATTTGAAGCTGGATTTTTTAAGCTAGACGTTAGTAGCGTTTTTCGTCTACGTCATTGAATACCATGCTGAAGAACAGCTGGAGGTGCAGATGAATGCTTGAAGAACGGCGAAATCCACCCTAGGCAATAGATTGCACTTCTTGTTAGGCATCAATAGCTTGTTTCAGCCCTTCAATATTATTTACTTATTATGTATAACTTTTGTCTACTGCCGTTTAATTTTTTCAAGTCAGGACATTATGTCAAATACAACCACAATGCTCCTGAGATATTTAGAATACAGGCTCACTTTAACTGGGTTTAGTGTCGACTTGTGCTACCCAGATCACTCTGTTTAGGTTAACTGATGATGGCACCATTAAAAGGATAAAAACGATAAAGCTCTCGGCGTTGATTAATTTCTTAGGAATGCGCATAGGACCCACAAACATAAAGCTAGAAGACAAAGCTCTCGGCGTTGACCAATCCCTGGGGGATGCGCCATGCATTCGACTTCATTAAGTATCGTTGGTGGTGATTAAATGCATATCTGGCCTTTACAATGAGTCGCGGTGGCCTACCGAAATATTGAGCCAGTGCTGCTATCCTCCCAGACAAGTCTGGTAGGAATTTGCCAACCCCGGAGGTATGGACAATATTTACAAATATCTTGCCACTATTGTGCACCTATTTGCTCATTATCGGGTGAGGTTGCCAGTTCGAAGGGCTCTCCCACTAAAGATGACCCAACTCTATACGCCCACGAAGACCCTAGATCGAGTAAACGAACAACTGTTGATCGTCGACTCAGTTCATTGGCTCTGTATGAACGTCGAAACATTAGCGAAATAAATATGTGGTAACAGCCTCATGTTATCTTGTCATTGAAATAATGCACAATATTACTCTTCTGTCCATATTATCCAAACGGTTCTCATGTACATTTCAGTATGTTTGTGATCTAAGGATAATTCTATTGAAGTAGGAGAGGCAGAGAATACAAGAAAACTTCGACCCTCAGCAGGGTAAAATCTGCGGCTTCAGATTTCCAAGCATTCACGTTCAGAGATCAGCAAGCTACAAGTGGATGTCAAAGGCCTACCATAGTGAAATAAGCGAACTTATTCCTTTGACTCCGCAGGAATACCCGATGTAGCAATATGGCAACAGTGGGTAGAACGAGCACGGAGAGGCTGCCTAGATCTCAAGGCCATTCTAGACCGCCTAAATCTCGGACGACTAAGTTGATGCTCTTTGTACAATGCACACTCACTTGCATGTGAGTCAACGATAGAGGAATTGGTTATGCAGGCAAGAAGAATAAGGTACGACGTCATCGTGCTGGCTGAGCCGAGAAGACGCCGAATATTCCATGCCGTCTGTGGCATTGGAGAAGAACACTTCCTCGGAGCATGCGACAGTAGAGGAGTCAGCGGCGTCGGCGTTCTCGTTATCGCGAGTTTGGTTATGAAAGGCAATACATTCGAACAACTAACAACTCGAATCGGATGTCTATGGTTGATGAGGCGTAAAGTAATACCGACTTCGACAATCTTTGGCGTCTGCGCATCGATCAAGCTGTCAACAAGACGAAGTCAAAGCTTTCCATATTGCCTTTCAGATGTTTTACAGAGGTGACCATAGATTCTTTATAATAAATCGGAGGTATTCCCAAGCTCATGCTGATGTCAAAATTCTACATGGAATGAGTCCGTTGCCTCCTTGTGCAAAATTTCAGCTCTCAGAGAAAGGAAAAAGAGTGGCTAAATACAAAAAACAAAGTCGGGAAACCTCTACAAGCTGCGATCTATTCGGTTCATTAATTGGGTGTCGGGAGGGTTCCATTCTTGGTAATATCGATGAAGAATGCGACAGACTCATTCAACATCTTTAGAGTAGCGCTATGAAAGTTGAGATTTCGAAAGTCACCAAGAGACGTGTTTCCAGAAACACTCTAGTTGATACAGCAGCATGGAATCGTACGAGCAACAAACAACAGCGCACAACGTTGGAACGAGCAAAACGTTGCAGACAGGCGATAAAAGAATATACCAGTAAGAAAAGAGCAGCACTTGTGGTCGAAGCCGCAGAGGCTAATAAACGCAGGGTTTCAGCTCAATGGAAGACGAGAAAGACAGTTCTGTTGTTCAAGAAGGGCGACATCCACGATATCGGCAACTATCGCGCAATCCGCTCACTGTTTGTCGTCTATAAACTATTCACTAGAGTCATCCTAAAAGAGATTGAAAGGACGCCGGACGAAGCACAGCCTTGTGAGTAAGCGGAGTTTCGAAAAGGATTCACTACGATCAAGAATGTCCACACGATAACAAGACTCATTGAAGTACCGCGAGAGTACAAGAGACCGCTCTGTCTCAATTTCATCGTTTAAGAAAAGCCTTTGACTCAGTTGAGAAAGAAGCACTCATCGAAGCCCTGAACCGCCATAGGATCATCACTTTGTATATAAAGATTCTTCGGTAGCTAGATCAAATTTTATTAACCGAAGTATCACAACTCTGCAACGATATTAACATCGACGTCAAAAGAGGTATTATGCAAGATTGTTGTTTTTGTCGCCATGTCGTCAAAATTATTTAGCGCCAAGCTCGAGAACGTTGTGCAAACACTGGAATGGGAAAACATGAGATTGAAAACCGATGATTGGTAATAACGCCACATTCGCTTTGCTGACGACATCGTTGTTGTTACACCAAACATTAGCCATGCGGAACGTATGTTTGCCGACTTTGATAAAGCCTGTGGAAAGATTTGTCTTCGACTAAATGTCACAAAAACAGTGTTCATGAAGAACGGATTGGTTTCGTATGCCCCATTCACGCTCATCGGAGCGAATATCTTCGAATGCTCCAGTTGCATCTATCTAGATCGGGAAATCAAGATGTTGAACGACAAGGCTCCAGGGTTGGGTACGAGGATGCAAGCTTTCTAAGGACCTTTCAAGAACATGGAATACGCAGCAAAGAGAACAAAGAACACCAGACTCCGTGCACACCCTTTAGATGCACGTACTGCGTATGAACGTGAACCGATGGCGTAGAGCCGTTAGTGATCGGATTCCTTCGAATGTGAAACATACTGCAGGAAGACCGCTGACCCGATAGTTAGACTTGTTAACGAAAAGCCTGGAAGAAATATATGATGCTCAAAGAGTCCTTGGAGCGATCAGAACCCAGTGGGCTATCCTTGCACGTTATAGGGAAAAATGGAAATATTTACTGCCGCCTGCTCGAGTCACTGAGCGATAAGCGAGACGACAGCTGATACAGGTGATATTCTCTCTCAGCCACCCTTCAAAGGTGGACTCTCATATCCATATAGCAGACAATACTAGATAAGAAATTTGAATTCGAGCACAACTATATGTTATTGTTCTCCGATCCTGCGAAAGCGTTGCTTCAAGGAGAAAAAAGGGGTTTCAACAACAAAGTTCCAATAATAAATTACATTAATGAGCTGTGAATAGATATGGATAGACAAAATTTATTCAACACAAATTGAAACACTGCAGTAGCCGAGCACTATGTAGAAAACTGAACTCCGTGGTGCAAATGGTGCTCCAACGTCGTCGCATTACAGAGTTTCTGCCTTTCGATTCCAAACTGTCAGTAGAAGAAGCAGCAATAACAATCCGTGATGTAATCACAATCTTAACCCTTTTTTATTTACTGCCTTTGTGATTATAACTAAGCCTCAGCTTAACTGGGTTCAATGCCGATTTGGGCTCCCCAGATCAATCCCGCTGACGGGTGATTGCTGATGGCAAAAAGATCGATAGAACTAGCAGAGAGACAGGCAAAGCGAAGGATCCGGATGGTGTGGTGGTGAAGTGCGCTGCTCCCGGTAAGGACAACAGCGCAGGTTCATTGCCCACCGCATACACCTGCGGTCCGTAGTTTTGCAAATATCTCAGCATTACATACGAGTTATAATCCGTGATTTAATCACAATCTCAAGCTTTTGATTTACTGCCTATTCTTTTTAACGCCAAATCGACATTGAACCCAGTTCAGCTGAGACTATAGTTATAATCACAATCTTAACCTTCTGATTTACTGCCTATTCTTTTTAACGGCAGGGTATTTTGCGAAATATAACTATTGTAATGCAGAGATATTTGCAAAACTCCGGACCGCAGATGTCTGCGGTAGGGAACGAACGCGCTATTGTCCTTTCATGGGTTATTAAACCGTTTATAAGGATAATATTTACGCTACAATAGCGCAGTGAAATCAGTTATCTATATAGAACAAGTTACAAAGCAATTTGGCTCAGTGGGAAGTAATAGGCAGTAATAGCATACGTAAGAAGTTGCATTAACAATGGTGTAGAGCATTACGCAACAGGTTCATACGGGTACGAGATACAATTAGAATTGCTGTTTACCTGACAATACTAGTAAAGCTACAACAGCGTAACTACGTACGTGACCTCTATGCAAGAATGTGATGGGGATGACGAGGTTACACTGGCAACGAAGAAGATTCACACACCACACATGCATCAAAAGGTATCGATAGATATGGGCGTAGCGGAATTGTAAGTAGAGGGAGGATTTGATGTGGCAAACTTGACTTTCGTAGAGGACTTATAAAAGTGGAAGCATTTGAGACAGTTGCTAGATCAACAATGAGTAGTGATTAAATAAGGATTGGCAGTAACATTACTATGCTGACGATTCTAGAACATGCAACTTCGTTCAATATTATTCTGACCTGAGCATATCGAAGGAATTGCAAGAAGAAGATGAAGCAGGAGGGCTGAGTGGTGAGAAAGGCAACGGAGATCTTCACGCTCGTCAGAAACCAAATGGTACAGCTATAGGGCCTGAACAACACCTAAGCAAATGTGGAGGGCGGCTGGGTCAAGTCACCAAGCAATGTAGCCGTACGCTGAGGCTTGCCCAATGGTTAAGAAGAAGCATCAATATAAGGCAGTTTGTACAATGCTTCACTGTCGTCGATTCATCTCGATGCGAAGGATACGACAAGATTAACCCAAAATGAACTTGTGCTCGTTGTGCGCACTCGGCTCGAGTCATCGGTGGATCTGATGAAGAAGAAACCGCCGAAACCTTAGCTATAATAAAAGTTTATACCATTCTCGTTCTAGCTCATTAATAAGCGAAAATATTAGATACATTTTGTTGTAAAAGTAACGACATGGGCAACACACCGATATCTCCCTGTATCCCTTAGATTGATATTATTCAATGCGAACTCATCGCTGAATCGATCTGGATGATTATTATATTCAAATGACGCTCTTAGAAGTGAAATATCATTGCGGTGGAGCTAGAACTATATTGTAAGAAAGCAGGTTCTTACATATATATTTCCACTCTTGTTGCGGACGTTTCTGGCGCTTGTGACAACTTTTGGAACGATCTGATCATCCGTTATTTGCGAAGAAACCGCTGTCGCTGGAACACACCATGCATAACTGAAGTACACTTACGTATGCTCTTGATTACGTGTTATTTTTCATTGATAAGATAACACGAGAATGATATCAAATATTACACGGTTAACGGTGGAAGCAAAGTTACCTTCAACGGACAATCAGCCTATCAGAAACCGCTTTGTTTAAAATGACGTTGCCGAGTGTGTTCGCTTCATTTCAGCAAGATCCTGGATAGATTCTCGAATCCAAAAGATTCGATTCTGTGCGACTTCAAAGGACCATATCGCAAGGTTAAAGAACGGCTACGAACAATGACTCAAGTTTTCACAGCTCCGGAGGAGACGTCGAAACGTTAGCCGAATAAAATTTGATGCCAAAATCGTTCTAGCTTAAAAATAAAAAAGTGGATATTGATTACTCACATCGTAACTGTACAGTCCATCTTTTTTTTTTGAAGTTTCAACTGGCATTTTTTCGCGGAGCGCTTTACCATTGCAAACCATGAAAGATAAAAACAGAGTTTTTCTAATCAAAACGGGTTGCCCACGTCCTTTGCATAATGAATTAGAAACAGGAGGCTCTGGAGTCCGAAACAATAAACAATTTGCTAGAAATGCGACAGCAATAATGTTGAGCTTGGTAGAAGTTGGTGAAATCCTCACTATACTCTGCGAATTGCAGCCCTTCATCCATTCGGTTCGTTTCCTCGCGTGCAGCATCCATTAAAGCCTTCGAACTTCTAGCTCCTCGACGGTTTTCCTGGCAAGTCTGGTTATAGGTTTCCCGCCTTAAGATAATAGGAGGCTCTTCTACATCTGGTGCGGTGTAGATCCTGGTCCGCGCTCGTGATGAACAGCATTCCTACTTCGCTACCCATAACACTTTGGTATGCAATCCATGTGAAACTTTGGTAGCTAAGACTTCTCTAATCGAAAAGAAATGGATCACACCTTGTTTTAGGTTT